GAAATCTGGAAGGGAAAAGCTATCAAAGACAGGGGGATAATTGGATAAGAACGGCACACCTTGGGCTCACCCGATAATTGTCTTTGATCACAAATCATTTTCCCAACGGAGGCCACGCTGTAGATCTCTTCTGTCTGGACTTCATTAACACTTCTGATGAATTGCTCCGTAGGAATGGATTTGTTAAAGCAGAGGGAAGTGGGATGGGGTGAGGGGATGCGGTGGAAGAAGGACCGCCACCAAGCGGATGTCCCCCATGGAAAGGTTGGGGACAGCCTTTGTGCTCCCCAAAGACCGTCAGGAAGGTAAAAGCAATTTGCTGGCGTCACATCATGCGCTGTGGAGGGAAAAATGGATCTGGATCTGTGAGATCCGGCCGTGCCAAGAGATGAAGGTGGCAAAGATGGGACCGGATCCAACACAGACGCAGCACATGGAGACATGAATGCTCTCCGGATGAATCCTTCCCTCCATTCAGCCCCCTCTGCGAGTGGAACTGAACCCAGCAGATCCCATCCCATTGTGCAAACCTTCCCCAGGCTGGAAAACCATAGGAATTAAAACAAACAAACAAAACAAAACAAAAAAAACACAACAGATTTGAAGATTTGGAAAGGAGGAAGAGCGCGCAGCATCACGGCGGGATTTGGGGTGCATCAGCCTCCCCACATCGGCTCCATCTTTCCTGCCTGGGAGAATTAGGCCTTGATTCGAGGGCTGGTTTTCAGCTTTGGGACCCAACTCCAACCCGTGTGATTTTTGCTGTCATTATTCCCAAGATGAATCCACCTCACACAGCCTTCAAAGCGCTGAGCTGTGGCTGAGGACCCCAAACCCCAGCAGCTGTGCCAGGATCGGTCAGCAAGCCCTCAACAAAGTGCTGCTGCACATCGCTGCTCCCCATCGATCTTATCTCCCCTCAAAGGCTCTTCCCAGATACAACACTTCAACCCAACGGCAATTTTCAGCCTCTTCTTTCTTTCTTTCTTTCTTCTTTTTTTTGTTTAATATTGGAACCATATTGAACCGTTTTACTGGCTTGGTTCTTCTCCAAACTGAAAGATGTCCTAAAAATAACTATTCCCAGTTCTGTGTGTGATGCTCAGCCCCCCTCAACCCCCCCCCTCTCCCCCCCTACACACACATAGGACCATGGCTGCCTCCCAGCCTTGTCTCTGCTTTTCTTATCCCAGCACTAAACGCGTTCCATTGGGGACTTTTAATCCCACCGATGATTTTTAACACCACCCATCTCTGCCTTTTGGCTCTGAGATCCGCAGGACCACAGATCCCTTTGGCACAGTGGGATTTGGTGCTCAGCTCAGCGGTCCCAAACCTCATCTGAAGCCTTTCTCTGGTACATAGCCAAGGGAGAGGGTAAATTGCACAGCCCCAATGCACAGAGGGTCAACAGCTCATAGAGAACCATCCCCAGTGAGTGATGATGGTGATGAGCTGAAGACCTTGGCCAGGCTTTGAGTCTTTGGGTCCAGCACCCCAGCCTGCATCCAAACCCATCCAAATGTATCCCTATCCCCATCCACCCCATCCAACAGTATCCCCATCCACGTCACCAAACAACACCTCCATCCCCATCCATTACCTCCATCCTCATCTATCCCACCAGACAGCATCCCCATCCTCATCCAGCCTATCAGACTATATCCCCATCCCCATCCATTGCACCAAACAGCATCCCCACCCTCACCCACCCCATCCACCACATCTCCATCCAACCCCATCTCCATCCATCCCCATCCAAACCCATCCATCCCTATCCAAACCCATCCATCCCCATCCAAACCCATCCATCCCCATCCAACCCTATCCAACCCCATCCACCCCATTCACCCCATCCACCCCCATTCAACCCCATTAACCCCATCTACCCCATCCAACCCCATCCACCCCATCCCCATCCATCCCCATCCACCCCATCCATCCCCATTCAACCCCATTAACCCCATCCACCCCATCCCCATCCATCCCCATCCAACCCATCCAACCCCATCCAACCCCATCCCCATCCAACCCCATCCCCATCCACTCTGCCCACCATCATCCCAATCCCCATCCACCCCATCACCACCGCTGCCCCCTGCTCCCATCACAGCCCCCCATAACCCAACACCCCATCCCTGTGATGGCTTCATCCTGCCCTGTCCCTGCACCAGCACTGCCCCTCTGTGCCCAGGGCCACCCATCACAGCTCACGGTGGCATCCAGCTCCCCTTGCTCTGATGGGGCTGTTTCATCCAAGGGCTGCCTTTATGAAAATGGCATTTGGGGCATTTCTTTTTTCTTCCCCAATGATTATTATAATTTTATTTTTATTCTTACAAGCAACAGCCAGTAAACAAAGACCAAATACGTGCTGAGTTGGCTCCCCACTCGCAGGGTGGGCCGGTCCTGATGTGAGGCTGGGGAGAAGGCTTGCAGCAAAGCAGGCGTTGGAAGCAATTGGCACAGCATGGCACAGCACCACATATCTGCAGAGCACCACGTGCCCAGGAGCACGGATAGCCCTAAGGGTGACCTCAGAACCCGTATGGAGGAAACCCAAGCAGGTTGGATGGACTCAGAGCACGATGCGTGACATCGCCACGGGCAGAAGGTGCTGAGCATCCTCCTCCTCCCCCCAGAGCACCTCTCTGAGGGTCGGATCCTGCAGCTCCGGCAGGGCTGGGTCGCTCAGAGCCTTTGAAAAGCCGCTTCCGTCCTCCCCACATCTTGAAAGCAGATTGCTCAAATGCAAAAAATCTGTTGTTTTCGTGAACGTTGCTTTGAACGTCTTCAAGCGCTGCTCGGGCAGGAGGGTGGGATCCCCCCCCCAGACCCTCCTCATGCTGGCTGTGAAGGTGCTGAGACCTGGCAATGGGGATCAGAAGGTGCTGGAGGCTGACACCCCGTGGGGCTGCGCTTTGTGGAACGCTCCTTGCTGCACCAGGGCTCCTCTGCAGCCCCAGGGCACGCGCTGAGCTCAGCGGATGCTGCTCCGTTTCTCAAGTGTGGCCAAAGAGCCAATAAACGCAAGGGCTGCAGCACATCCTGTGAGGTGAGGAGGGGGGATGGCATGAAACCGTCCATCCTGTTGGGTGGGAAAGGTCGGTCTGCCCTGAGGAAGGAGACTCGTGCAGAGTGGTGGGTTTGTGTTTGCCTTTCAGAGCCGCGCAAAGCTCTGCTCCCCTCGAATCCCGTTGCCAGAGGGATGGGTCCAACCTTCAGGCTCTGGTGTAGAGGAAGAGTTGGGTCCCTGCCCCATAGAGAGGAAGGTTTTCCCCATCTTGAGAAGGGCAACCAAGGGCTGCTCTGCTTTCGTTTTGCTGACATCTGGATCCAACGAGCTGCAAAACCCATCCCATAGCACAGGGCAAAGCATGGCCCAGGGGACCACGATCTCCTCTGCAAACCGAAATGAGAAGGGACATCACCTCCCTGTCCTCAGCCCCTGCAGGATGCTTTGACCACAGTGCCACACAATGCAGCCATTGGGTCCAGGAAGGACAGTGGGTCCCAGGTGATGCTGCGCCTACGGCTGGGAGCAGAACTGGCACCGCCTGGTGGGTAAAAAGACCCCAATGTCCCCGAGCATTGCTGGTATTGCTGTACCCCCAGCCCAACATAGGGGAACGGGGCCCCCCAGAGGTTCTCCAGCATTGTCACCATCTGTCAGCCCCATCACATCATCGCATCCCCATCGCTGGAGAGAACAAAACCAGCTGGGATTTCCGTGTGAGCAAACTGGAAGCGATGCCAGGAAGGACCTCCCAGCACACAGCAGCTCCCAGATCCACTCATATCCATTAAAATAAACCCTTCCCCCTCCTACCCCCCCTCCCCTCCCGGTGCATCCCACCTCCCCATCAGACCCCTGGGTATGAAACGAGGACTTCTGCAGCTTTCAGCTTGCAGGAGGGTGGGTCTGTGAGGTAGGAGACGGCTCAGTGCGGCCCCCAAGGGGGGGCTTGGCTGGGACGTGCTGGTATTGAAGGGCTCTGCTGCTGGGGAGGAGGGGGGAATGCAGGGGAGGTGGAGAGGGGGGCACCCAGCTCGGTCCCTCCCTGCTGCGCCGCTCACCCCATGGCAGCTCGCTGCTGCCCCCCGCCGGCCAAAGCCCACCCTGCACCCATGGGTGCCGAACCCTAGGCTCCGTCAGAGTCGATGGATCTCTTCCTCTCCCCTTTCTCCTTCCCCTTTCCTTTCCCCTTCCCTTCCCCTCCCTTTCCTCTTTCTTCCCTTCCCTTCCCTTCCCTTCCCTTCCCTTCCCTTCCCTTCCCTTCCCTTCCCTTCCCTTCCCTTCCCTTCCCTTCCCTTCCCTTCCCTTCCCTTCCCTTCCCTTCCCTTCCCTTCCCTTCCCTTCCCTTCCCTTCCCTTCCCTTCCCTTCCCTTCCCTTCCCTTCCCTTCCCTTCCTCCTTTCCCTTCCATTTTCCCCTGCTTATCCAGTGCAACAACAGCAGAAGGAGAAGCCCAGAAGGAAATCTGCTGCACCCAGAGGAAGAGAGAAGTTTGGGAATCTCCACTGTGGGTGCAGGAATTCTCCACTCCTCCTATCCTGGGGGGCTTTGCAGACCATATCCAGCCCTTCCCTCCCTTCCTAGATTGGCACTGAGCTCTCCCAGCAGCCAAACACCCCCTGAAATCACTCAAAGGCTCTCCAGGGGCTTCAGCTTCTCAAGGCTTAACCCCAAACCTTCTGAGACCGGCAAGAGGGCTGAAGGAGGCCGGGGTTGTCTGAGAGCAAAACCCAAATCTGGGAGTCCCAGAGAGGAAAAAAAACACTCAGCACCTCTGCACAGGACAACAGCGAGGTCGTTTATCACAGGGAGATGAATCCTCCCTCCCCCAAAGAGAACCTGCTGTGGTCCCACATCACCCCCAAAGCACCGTGTCATACAACCAACCCCTGTCCCTCCCCCATAGTGAAGCTCCTTTCACTCTGGCACCGAGGGAGGGAGACAGGATTTAATAACTTTGTGGAGCAGTGACTACAGGAGCTGAGTTTGGTGAGAAAGAGGCTGTATTTCCGCTCTTATTGTGGCATCACATACGAGTTACAGTGTGGTTTAGTACAAGGAAATGCTGGGATACACACAAATGAGCTCTGCTGTGAGTTTACCATCCTGCTGCAGGGCCAGGTTTTACACCAAGCGTGCAACCGAAAGCACAAACAATGTAAAAATATATTATATATTTACATACACCATCTTTTAAAAAGCTGAGACAAGGAGTATAAAGTCCGGAGCTAAAAGATGTCAGAGAGAAAACGGGGGGTTAGGTTCAGTCAGCTGTCTGTGGGCAAATCACAAAAATAAAGTTTAAAAACCTCCGGGGGGAGGGGAAAAACTGATGGGAGTTTTGGATACGTTGCCCCTGCTGTGATTTCACTGTGATGGGAAGGGACCATCGGCAGCTTCCAGAGCTGGGAACAGCACCCAGGCAGCAAAACCCATCGGAGAAAGGTGTGAGATGGGTTAGGACAGCCTATGTGAAAGCACTTGCAGACTCGACAGCGGGTGGCACAGCAGGGATGGCCACTGCGCCTCCTGCCACTGCTGGCAGCCCCACGCCAGCAGGAAGGGAGGGTTTAGCATCTAAAAGCCTGAGCATTCGAGCTCCTAAGTGTGATCCACACACACGTGGACTTGGCCTGGCTTTAGGGATGTCTGGCTTTAGTGATGTCTGGCTTTAGTGAATCCCAGCCGGCCTCCTGGCAGAGCTGCTCTGCTGCGCACGCTGACCCAAAGGTGTTCCTTGATCTCAGCTGGGTCAGCTGTACCGCGCTGCAGAAAATCCTGGAAGATGTGGGGTGCTGGGGGTCTCCAGGGGCTCCCTTCCCTTTCTGTCCATGGGGCAGAGCAGTGCAAGGAGCTGGCTTGCAAGCAGCAGGGCTCTTTGCTACGCACACCTGGAGCGAGCCGGCGGCTCCCTCCCTCGGGGGCTGCATCCTCAAGGCTTCAACCCACAGCCCCCCAACCCTGGGGGCTGCTGACCCACGTGAACCCCGGGGACCTCAGGGCAATGAGGGCTTGGATGCAGGCCTGCTGTCTGTGAGCAGATGGAGCTTTTAAGCTCACTGCCAGACACAGGAAAGTGACAGAAGGAACAGATCGACAGCGTTAGCCAAACTTCAAATGGTTGAGTAAAAGCGATTAGGAAAAACCCCTCCTGCAGACAGACAAACCAAGCAGCGCTGGGTGGCTTCCTCCTCTGCCTCCTGCTTGCTTCTTGCACGTACCACTGGGGGGCAGCTCAGACATCCAGCACCTTCAGACGGGAGCAAAGTCCCAGCATCAGAAGTCACTGAGGATACTGATGTCTGCAAACTCATTCCTGTACCGGTAGGCGTAGAGGCTGAGCAGGAAGGCCCATTTCAAGGAGATGAAGCTCCAGACACACGACAGGTAGTAGCTTCTGGGATCAGTCAGGGCTAGGAGAGAAAAAAGGGACGTATTTCAAAATCCTGTCTATCCCTCGCCCGGTCTGAATCCACCTCAACCCCGATCAAAAGCACACACACAAAAACACAACCCTCAAACCCCCCCCAAAAAAAACCCACCCAGACTTTCTGCCTTTCATCCGCTGCCCAGCAGAGCCTGGGAGTCATTACATCAGCCCTCTTATGACAGCATTACATTCACAGCAGGAAGTTTCACGTGCTGACTCAGCTCAGAAGGCATTTTCACCCTGCTGATACGCAGTGAGGTTTCCAAACCCTCACCCACCTGCTTTAGGAGTGCTGAAGAAGCAGTGTTTAAGAGCACTCCACTTATTTGTCATACATGTTAAGCACGTTCTGGTTTCTCTAGGAGACCAAACTGGAAGACGTGGGCTGCGTGACGAGGTCTGACAATGCAGGGGTGGAAAGCAGGAAGATGGGCACTGCCCCAATGGAGTGGGACCCGTCAGAGAACAGAACTGCCCTCATGCCATCAGCAGAGAGCAGCAGGAAACTGAAATGCAATAGCGTTCCTGCAGCCCCTCCCCTGAACAGGTTGCCCAAGGAGGTCGTGGATGTCCTGGAGGCATTCAAGGCCAGCCTGGATGTGGCTCTGGGCAGCCTTGGTCTGCTGGTTGGAGACCCTGCATGTAGCAGGGGGGTTGAAACCGGATGATCATCGTGGTTCCTTTGCAACCCAGGCCATTTTGTGGTCCTATGAACACCTCCCAGGCTCCGGCCCCCAGAAGGGGGCTCCTCCAGACCCAAACTCAGCATTCCCAGCACTGCTGGCAGCTCCAACCCGCTGCTTTCTGCAGCCCAAATACTCACACTGATGCTGAGTGATGGCCAGGACGAGGAATGTGCAGAATCCCACCACGGAGAGAGCTGAGAAGAGGATCCCGATGAAGAGGAAGAACCTCAGCCCTTTTAACCAGGTCCTCCAGTAATCCTGCACATACATCACATGCGTGATTAGGGCCCAGAGCGCCAGAACACCTGCTTGATCAGACAGCAAGGGCAGTCAGTAGAGCACGCAGCACGCTGCAGCACCAAGGCCATTGAACAAACACAGCAGGAACCACCTCCACCTCGCACAGATCCCCCTCCAAACTCTTCCAGTGACCCAGAGGTAACAGCTCCCATTGCTCCAGGAGCCACACAGGAAGGAGACTTTGAGGTGGGGACCGAGCGGCGCGGCTGATTTCTGTCCCCCAGCCCCACCAAACAGAACCCTGCCAGCACCCCCCGTTTGCTGCACAGCCCTTTGTTTGCAGAACAAACACTTGCCAGGCACTGAATTACCACGGGGTTGAGGACCACGGCTGCAGAGATGGGTGCAAACACGTTGCCCCGGTTGCAATGGGCAAGTTGAAGTCAGGGTGCACCCAACCACCACGCAGCCTCACTGCTCACTCCATCATTATCTGTGCTTTCACAGAGCTGAGCAGGAATCTCTGCTTTTCCAAGCCGGCCTCAAGTGCTCTGACAGACAGCAGCTGCTTTAAGTGATGACCCAATTCCTTCACACACTTGAGCTCCTAGGAAAAAGAAACCCGAGCCCACAACACTGATGTTAAATTGGGCCTATTTTCAAAAGACTGGGACATTTCTGATGGGATTTCTGGAAGTGAAGGGGTGCAGATTGCAGCTCCCAGCTGATACCAGTGTGCATACGGCTCCCATTTGGAGCAAAGCACTCTCATGCAGTGTTTAAAGTGGATTAAATCCAGCTCGGCACTTCTGGGTCTGGATTACACAACCAGAGTAATATCTGAGCACGCAGAGTTGGTTCTTATTTATTTATTGATGGAAAGGTCAAAGAGCAGCCAAAGGCACTTCCTGGGCTTGCATGTCTTTTCCATCACCACGTTTCACTGTCAAAAGGGAAGAAATGGGAGACAAAAAGGCCCCAAAGAATCCACATCAGAGTTGCCAGCAGCTTCTGACAGAAAGACAACGCATCCCTCCCTTACCTTACCCTAAAAACTGCCACCTTTTCTCCTAGTTTGAAAGAAAAATGAGAGCAGAGGAAGACGGCGCTTGAAGCCCCTCCAACCCTCGGATCTGGGCTGTTTGCTGCCTCCCAGCAATGAGTGCAAAGCATTTGGAGCAGCTTCCCCTCTGCTGAAGTCGCAGCACCGCCTCGGAGCCACGGCACCAACGAGGAGCAGCTCTGCATCTGGCACTGCTGCCATCCAAACCAACCTCCACTGCTGTGCTCTCCTTCATTTCCACGTCCCGTCGTTAAGGAACAGCAGAGGGATGACAAACAAACAGGACAGCCAGCACTGCTCCCATCCCAGCCTGCAGAACACACCTCCTGCTCGTCACTCGCTGGACACACAGAGCTTCTCCAGGCTTCAAAGAGCGGCATTGTGGCACAGAGCAAAACAACAGTGGGGAGGATGGCAGCTGAGCTCCGCTGGCAGCAGCAGGGCTTTGCTGGCTTTCCCTTGCAGCTCCTTGCTTGCAGCCTTGCTGATCTCAAACTGAAGCTGGATTTCCACAAAGGCAGCCCTGAGCTCGGAAACCTGGTGGTGGCTTTTATCTTTTTGGGGTCTTGCATGGGGTAGAGCGGGTTAAAATACCCTCTGCAGAGAGCCATAGGGAACTCGAAGTGCAGGCAGGTGGCTCGGGGAGATAAAAGCCAGCCTGCAGGAGATAAAACCCAAAACAGCAAAAGCAAACGTTTCAGCTCCTCCTGGTATCCCTCAGCTTCGCAACAGCTTGAAGCTGCTGATGAGAGGGGAGCCCTGGCTTTGCAAAACATGCAGCTCCCCTGCAGGCTTTCAGATGAGCCAGCAGAACGGAGCTGAACTGCTGAGTCAACGCCCCGAAAGCAGTGCAGTAAGAAGAGGCTGTAAGAAGAGGCAGCACGTGAGCTGTCAGCAGGCCTGAGCCCAGCCTGATGCCTGACACAGCGCTGGGAAGGAAGCTCAGCTGATCCCCAAGCCCACACCAAGCACTTCCCAAAGAAGAGAAGCCTGCTGACAGGAACCACGGCGTGCAAAGCTGGGTCACGAGGCCCTTCAGCACAGGGAATCCTTTCACCCAGAGCTCAGCCAGCAGAAAACACGTTACCACATGAAGCAGAGGGGAAGGAGACTCAGCCAGCTCCAGCCATGTGATGCCCGCCTGTCCCCTGCGCTCCAGGGGCACTCAGACCCTTCAATGGATCCAGCAATGGAGCTGGCAGAGCACGAGGTGCCTTCTCTTCCCCCACTCCCCTTTCCCCAGCTTGTTTTCTTCTCTAAAATGGCAGAAAAGTGTTCCAAGCAGTTAAATGAGCACTCGGAGCTGTTTGAATCAGCATCTGCACCGGCGCAAGGAGAGGAGGGCAGGAGGAAACAGAGCAGAGCTCTGCTTTGGAAAAGCCCTCAGAGCAAAAAGCTTGCAGGTTTAACCCAAACTGTAGCATTACAGCTCACTCCTTCAGCTGTGCCACTTCAAAAAGTGCCTTTTTGAACAGCTTTTTTTGCTGGAATGGGAAATAAGAGTTTGGTCATTCGAAGCGTGCAACGTCTGACTTGCACAGCATTCAGCTTCTCTCGTTCATCTCAATCTGCTCCTCCTCCAGACCTGCACCTCTGCTCTGCAACAGAACTGCATTCTGCATTCATGCAGAGGGAAAAGCAGCACCTGCAGCAGTGGAGAAGCAGCGCAGCTCATTGCAGCACCTGCTGGAAATAACATCAGAAGCTCCACAGCCATTCAGAGCAACGCTGGTGGATTCGCCCCACGTTCCGTGTCTGCAAGGAGAGCTGCTGAATAAAACACAATTGAGGGATTTCCGACCTGGAGCAAACAGTGAAGTGCAACAAAATGAGAAACTCATTGCCCAAAGCACACAAAGCTCCAGGAAAAGGAAATGGTCCAACAACCACGGGGACATCTGAAGCAACAGGGGTGGCTGGTTGTTTTTCTTTCATGCCGGTTAGCAGGAGTTTTGACTGCGCTTTTAATTTGTATTTTAAGTCCAGGAGTGCACCTACAGTGCACTTGGAAGGAGTTTAAAGAAGCTCTAAAAAGGCAAATTCACAGCTGGACAGACCCCAGCTTGCAGCCTGGCACAGGACAGTGCTGACAAGCATCAACACAGCATATATACAGAGAGGGAGGAGCAGCCCTGCAGAGAAGGACCTGGGGGTCCTGGTGGGTGAAAAGCTGAACGTGAGCCAGCAGTTTGTGATTGCAGCTCAGAAAGCAAATGGGATCCTGGGCTGCATCAGAAGAGCTCAAGCAGGGGACAGGGAGGTGATCAGCCCCCTCTGCTCTGCTCTTGTGAGGCCTCATCTGCAGCACTGCGTCCAGGGCTGGGGGTTCCAATACAAGACAGGGAGCTGTTGGAGAGGGTCCAGAGGAGCCACAGAGATGAGCAGGGGCTGCAGCACCTCCCTGCAAAGACAGGCTGAGGGAGCTGGGCTCGTTCAGCATGGAGAATAGAAAGCTGGGGGTGAGCTCAGTACAGCCTGCAGTGCCTGAAGGGAGCCTGCAGCCAGGAGGGGAGGCAGCTCTGTGCAAGAGGAGATGAGAGCAGGACGAGGGGAAATGAAGCTGAGGGAGGGCAGATGGAGGCTGGATGTCAGGGAAGTTCTGTGCTGTGAGAGCGGTGAGGGGCCGAACAGCTGCCCAGAGAGGCTGCGATGCCCCGTCCATCCCTGGAAGTGTTGGAGGCTGGATGGGGCCCTGGGCAGCCTGGGCTGCTGTGAAACGTGGAGGTTGGTGGCCCTGCGTGTTGCAGGGGGTTGGAGCTCCGTGATCCTTGAGCTCCCTTCCAACCCAACCGTCCTTCTATAGAGGCTTCCCCACTGGTGAGGCTGCTGGCAGCAGAGCAGCAGAGCAGCTGCTTCCCTGAGCTCAGAGCACGCTGCAGCCTGCCAGGACGCCGTGTACAGCACGGATGGGTGGTGTGGATCCCAGGGACAAAACAACAACGGCGTGAGGCCAAGGAGAAGCATGTGCATACACAGGGGAGCTGCTCTGCAGCCAGCCTTCCTCTTCCTGGGGCTCGAAACACGCGCTGGAAGGCAGCAGCTGACGGCAAACGATGAGAAAAAGAAAACAAGCAAAGCAAAACAGAACAAAACAAAGCACGCATTAAAGAGTGCCCGAATGGTCCTGGAAAACATGAAGCCTATGGTGAGCAATGGGGAACGCCTGCAGTGCTCACAGAGCCCTCGCTTTGCATCTGCACAAACCTCCTTCGTGCACTCAGCGCCCACCCCAAAAGGAGCCCATGCTGCTTCTGTCCTTTCTGCGTTAGGAAAGCTTTGCCTTCTCTGGTTGGTTCCCAGAAAGGGTGAAATGTTTCTTCCTGGGGTCCCAGCCAAGCGAGTGCAGCGTCAGAGGTTAAAAATGGGTTTTCCCTGCCCGCTTCTTCTGCCAAAATAGCTGAGGATCAACAGCGAAATATTTTAGGCAAGCAGCTCTCAAATGAGAGGAGTCTATGGAGTATCAGAGTGCCAACTGGCTTTCATCTGGCAAACCCTCCCCGTGGGCTTTATTTCTGTTTGGAGGGAAGCAGACAGAGCAGCACGGGCACACGGTGTGAAAAAGGGCATTTAAGACAAAACCAGCATCCCATTTTCCAGCCCTTCAGCAGCACCTGGAGGGATCCAGCTCTCCCCTCAACAGGGGCTTCCCTGTGCTCCCCTCTGTGTGCTGTCCTCCATTGAAGACAAAGGAACAGAAGGGCCACGAGGCAGAACCCAACGACTGCAGCGCTCTGTGTATGAATTCCACTACCTGGCCACGCTCTGTTCCACAACTGCAATGCTTGCTGTACATGCTGCTCTCACCCTGGGCTGGGAACAAGCCAAACTGCCTTCCTTTACCTGCAAAATGCAGGTGAGATGAGCTGTGAGAGCATCTCTGCAGCATAAACCACCTCCTGCCACTTCCACTTATCAGATACCTTCAAGATTCCGAGCATCTGAAAAAGCACATTTCAGCTTTCATCATCTTTGCTAATCCATATTGCATTCTCAAAGCACAAGTTTGGCCAGAAATAACTGAGCAGCTTGGAAACAGCCCCTAACGACTCCTTGAGTGGCTCAGAATGGAACAGCAGAGCACTGAGATGGCCAGCATGAACTCAGGAGCCACCCTTCAGGTCCTGAGATGCTCTGTGAAGATGAGGGAGCTGATGTTACCGTGTGTGGAGGGGGTGGGGGGTTGTTGTTATTACAAAAGACAACCAGAAAGACTGGAAAGGTGGCTGCTCAGCATCTTAAATTGCCTGCTGCTGGTTTCACAGTGAGAGGCAATTGAACTTAAATGGAAAGATTAAAGCAGAGAAGGAGACAGTAAGGAAGAAGGGAAGCATGCAGAGACATCCCAGAGCAGAACATCCCCAGTGAACCAAGAGAAGGAAAACTTGCAGTAAGGTGGACTGCAGCCTGCAAGCACACAGAAGGAGAAAACAAGCACCTGAGAGGCAATGGGAGAACCAGGAAGATAGTTAAAAGCAGAGGAGTGTGTCCAAGCAGAGCCATGGAAAAGGTTTGACAGGCAAAGCTTCACCTTAAGGGGAACTACATGTGAGAACTGAATGTTGTTTCTGCATCAGAAACAAAAGAAGAATTATGTTAATTTCATGGCCTATTTGGGTCATTTATTAGAACTAATAGTCCTTCTCAGGGGCCTTTCTACATTATTGGGGTTCTCTGATAAAATTTTATTGGTCATCCCCTAGATAAATCTTCCCCAACAACACATATTTGGTATATAAGTAAAGTAATATGTATGAATATATGTATATATAGGCCAGTAACAACTTATGTATAGCCAGTATTGAGAATATGTCACACACACTGCAACTGTGTAATTTAAAAGGACAATTCATTACATGCCTCAGGAGTGCCTGAAGAAGGTATTGAGGAAAATTGGGCATCTCTCTTCCGTACCCTTTGTTAAACAAGGACTCTGAACAGAATCACCACATCAGTATGAACAAGGAGAGTCAATGGAGACAACAGGACTGACACCAGATAACAAACAAATTAACAAGTGAACAACAAACGTAAAGCCTTCTGATAAGGTTGTGAACCTGGAGTACCCAGCCAGAGGGGAAACAGGGGAGGGGGAGAAGGCAAGGGGGGAAGAAAACGGTCTAAAGGCTGTCATGTTGTGTCCATAGGTGCGCTAGAAGAAGAGGAGACCACCAGGCTAGAAGACCACGAGGTCTTCTTCCCCCCATGTACACAGTGGGGCTGCAGCTCGCACCTCGGCGCTCAGATCTGAGCAACCACACAAAAGGGCCGGAAACCAAACGCGTGTTTTTGGAAGGCAGTGGGCCCACAGAGGGCAGCAGGCACAGCTCCCTGCTCTGCCCACACCAACGCTTGAGCTGTGCCCCACAGATGGGGGAGAAGCTGCCATCCCAGCTGCGCTACCCTGCACAGCATGAAGGGCACCCGGCAACGCCTGCAATGAGCTCTGCCACATCCACGCTGCAGGAAGCTTCAGCAGCTCATCCTCTTCCTTTCCTGCCATCCTCTGCCAGTAGGAACACATCTAGTCCAATGCATGACGATTAACACGTAAAGCAGAAGCGACCCAGGTGGGCTCCACGCTCACCTAAGCCCCCAACCACTACGCGAGCTGCCTCCTACAAGCCTCGATTTTCAGATGGAAAAGAATAACACAACACAGGCCTTCCTTGTTGTGAAGTTTGCTCCTCTGCAACCACGCAGTTTGCCCGCTTTGCTGTGCTGTGCAACGAGTGGAACTGCTGTGATGGTGAGCACAGAGCTGAGGGCACAGCTGGACTTCAGCGTTTGCCTGGCAGGAGCACAGGTTTCAAAGGTCCTCTCCACACACGCGTGGTTGCTCCCATTCCTTCCTGGCCCCTGCCTTGAGACAGAATGCTACACAAGAATGAAGAGCAGGAATGTAAAGCTGAAATCTCATTGCAGTCATGTGGGGAGAATTTCCACCTCCTGAAACACCAGGAGGCAAAAAACGTGAAGCAGAAAGGCTGGAAAAAGCAGCCAAGGATGTAAGAGGAAAGGAACCTCCTGAAACAGCTTTGTCATAACAGCAGAACACACTGAAAGCCTTTCTGACTTTCCTCAACGCGTTTCTCAGGCTTTGAGATCCCACTGAGGCTCTCCCTATGGACATTTCATTTCATTACACACAGTGTACACAAACCAGCAAATGACTGCTTGCTTTTTATCTCCGTTTTTTGCTTACCTTGAGCCCCTGTTACCTTAACCAGCTTCAATTACCTGGTGACTAATCAGCACACAGACCTCCTCCTCCCTGCAGATAATAACCTAAGTGACTCCAGCACCACCAGCATAGCATGCTTTCTCTCTCTGCTTTCCCACCAGCTTCCTTCTCCTCCAGAAATCCCTCTGTGAACACAAAGGTGTGTAAAACACCACTTATTTCCCTGTGCATTGCTTAGGCCCTACAACACTCCAGCTTCCCCTACACCACTGAGTAAAACAAGACAAGCACATCGCATTCGCTCAGCTTAACTCCAATTCCAGCTGGAATTAAAGCTCTTTTGGAAGAAGAGGAGGGTGAAGAAGCTGAGAGAACTGAATAGGAAACGCAGAACAACTGTGAGCATCACAGCCAACCTGACAGCATGGCACATACTGAGAAGCACAGAGCTGGCATTGCTCACCACAAAGTTTTGCTTCACTCTGTGCTCTTCCTCCAGGTGCTCACTCGCATTCAGCCCCATGAAAGTCCTGAGCTGCTCAGCAAACAAAGCGAGACAGGACTACGATCCTCCAACCCAATCATTAACGAAGATCCACAGATCTGTTTTGGGCCACCAAACCCCTGTGATTTCAGCCTGAGCCCCGTAAGCCAAGCAGCTCACACTGCTCACACCTCAGCCTCTGTCACAACACCTGCCCAGATGTTCCCCGTGGGTACAAACCTCACCAGCTTCCATTTTCCTTTTTTCCTCCCCTGAAAACACAGAGCACACCTGAACGCCGCTTTCCAGACCTGAATTTCCCTAGCAAAGCCAACGTTAAGCCTGCAATAAAATCCTCCTCTGGGTAAAAAAAGCTGGCTGGCACGCGGGGCCTCGCTCCACACACATGCAGACACTGTGACCCCTGGCATTCCCAGCTGCAAACACAGCCTGCATGCTGCAACCCCAACAGCTTCTGGCCAAAGCCACTTCCTCAGTAACACCAGAAGCTGGGGAGAGCACCCGAAACACCACAGCCTGCCCCAAAACCCACCTGTCCCATCCCTGTCCCCTCCTGCAGTCTCGTTCTCCCCACCTGCCCCAGCTTTGCCCCCCTTCTCCCATTCAGATTTAAGGCAAACACCACCCACCTCCCTCCCCCCTCACTGTGCCCCCAAGCACTGGGGGAAGCAGAAGGCAGGACGGTACCCAGGGAATTTTGGGGATGCTCCAGGGCCTGTGGGGAGAGGCACAAAGCCAGGCTTGGGGGACGCTGTCAGCTCTGGGGTCACATTAAGGGGGTTCATACTGGGGGGGGTCACTTCAGGGGGGGTCACCTCAGGGGGGGGGTGAGGTTAGCACCCTGGAGATGGGGGATCACCTCAGGGAGGGGGGGTTCATCTCCAGAAGGGGGGGTCATCTCAGGAGAAGGGTGATAACCACAGAAACGGGGGGGGGGGGTCTCCTCAGTGGGGTCACCTCAGGGTGGGGGGGGTGAGGGAGGGATCACCTCGGGGGGGGGGGTTTCATGTTGGGGTTGGGGGGATCACCTGGGGGGGGGGGGGGCTCATCCTAAGGAGGGGGTTATCTCCAGAAGGGGGGGGTGATCTCGGGAGGGGGCAGTGGGGATCATCAGAAGAAGGGGGAGTCACCTCAGGAAGGGTCACCTCGAGTCCCCCACCTCAGAAGGGGTTCATGTTGGGGTTAGGGGGATCACCCCGGTGGGGGGGGGGGATCATCAAAAGAAGGGGGGGGGTCACGTCGGCGGTGGCGGGGGTCACCTGATGGGGGGGGGAAGGGGGGTCACCTCGAGGGGGAGGGGTCACCTCACACAGTCCTCCCCGACCACCCTCCCAACCGCCATCCCAGCGTACCCGAGAGCCCCCCGGCCGCGGCCGTAGCGGGCTGGCGGAAAGCGGGCGCCAGGCTCCAGGTGAAGAAGGCCGAGAAGCCCATGACGGTTCCGACGGCCGCGTAGGCCAAGCGTACAGCGAGCGCCCGGCTCACCGCCATCGGAGCGCTCCGCCGCCACCGCCCGAAGCCCCGCCCACCATCCACCGCTGGGCCACGCCCACGGACACGCCTTCTGACCACGCCCACTTTGTGCCGCCCCTCTGCTGAGCGCCCCCTCGCGGCCCGGAGGACTGAAGGGGTGGATCGGGACTCGTGGGGAGGGGGCGTGAAGGGAGTGGGGTCATCGAGGGTGTAGAGGACGTGGAGGATGGAGGGAGATGAGGGGGACGTGGGGGTCGTTGGACACGAGAGGGTATAGGGGGGGTGGTAGAGGGCATGAAGGCAGCGGGAGGGTGTAGGGACATGAGGGATGTGGGGATCTGAGGGGCATATAGAGGCCACAAGGGGTGATGGGGAGATGTAGGAGCCCAAGGGGACGTGGGGCCACAGGGACATGAAGGAAATGCGAGGTGGCACAGTGGGGGTTGTGGAGATGCGGAGGGCAAAGGGGACAATGGTGGGTATGGGGATGTGAGGGAGGTATGGGAACAGGGGATGTGCAGGGTTTTGGGGACATGGAAGCGTGTAGGGGACAAGTAGGGGTCGGGGATACTGAGACACTGGGACAGGAGAGGGTCATGGGGGCTGTGAGGGTGTAGTGACAAAGGGAATACGGCAGCTGTGGGGATATGGGGTCATGGGGGGACCCGGGACAAAGGGGGATGTAGGGACGCGGGAAGAAACGGGAGGCAAAGGGATGCAGGGAGATGTCCCTATGGGGCCACTTGTGGTTGAGGGACAGGATGACAGCAGGGGGTTGGGGACAGAGGGGAGGTGACAACGGGAGGGGACTGAGCTGTTCAATCCTATCCCCGAGCTGCGTGCAGGCTGCAGGCAGGGCAGTCCCTGCTCTAGGTGGCAGCAGCCCCTTTCCCTTCTGTGCTGAGACACCCAAACTTCATCTCCCCTTCCCTGCGTCCCTCCGAGGAGCCACAGTGGGGTTTCTCCTTAAATGCAATGGGAATTCCTCCAAACCCTTTCATTCCCCTGCCTTTCTCCTCTCCCTATGGCTGTCGCCTCCAAAGTGTCCCCAGAAGCGTCCCCAGAGGTGTCTGCAAAGCTGTTCTCCTCTTGGAGCTGCACAAATCCCATTCCCCCAGCTTCTCCTCATCCCGGCCCTTCTCTTCTCACCCAAAGCATCTTCTGCTGCCGTTGCTCACAATGAGAGGTCCTCTCTGGATGGCATCCCATCCCCACACGTCACCACACCACACAGCTTGGTGTCACCCACAAACAGCTGAAGGTGCACCGATCCCACTATCAGGGTCAATGATAAAGATATTAAAGGTGGGTGGTCCCACTACCCACCCTGAGGGGCACCACTGTCACCAACCTCCATCCGTTGGCCCATCGGTCACCACGCTCTGGGTATGACTTTGCAACCATCAAACCTTTCCTGTTTAGAGCTGTGGGGGTCTGACCCGCTTCCCATGTCATTGATGAACATATTAATTAGCGTCGGTCCCAGCACTGATCCCTGAGGGGCTCCACTGTCTCTTATCTCCATCCGGACTTCCATGAGCTCCCTATAGATTTTCATTGATGGATGTGGTTGAGGTTTTGGCTGCATCGGGGCAGCAGAAAGCACAGAAGACACCGACAAAGCGTGAGCAACACGTGAAACCTTAACGAATTCTTGGCCGAAGAGCTGGAAAATGAGAACTCTGAGAAATGAGACCTCTGGTGTGAGACGATCCCACACCTCGCTTGGGTTCAGCAGCACTGAGCTCCAGCCCAATGCCCAGGGATGGGCGCAGGCCTCAGTGGGGGGCATTAATAAAACCCTTGGGAATAAGCAGCAGAGATCAGCCTGATGTTCTGTGGGTGTGTGGACGTGCTGTGAGGGCCTTTGGGTTTTGTTCTTACTGGGAAAGACCTGAAAGCTGCAAAAAAAAGCCACCTTTTCTGGCACCTTCTCCAGCAGTCGCAGGAATTCAGGTGCTTCATGCATACACCTGGAAGAGCAATAAGCGGCGTCAGCAAATGCCAGGCAGCTCTCCTGTGTCAAAGCAGATAAAATCAGCTCCACCGCTGTTCTTTCTGGCTGTTCACACCTGTGTGGTGTGCGAATGATCCAGCAGAAATTCCGAGACGATTTCCACATCCTCGGCCCAACGGCGCTGAAAGGGGGGAGAAACCAAAGAGATTTTGCAGAACCATCTTTTTTTTTTTCCGTGCAGAAAAAACCTCCATCAGAAATGGGGAAAATTTGCTGTCTGTGAGCGAGAGAGGTTGAACCGGGTCATCGCGGCAATGGGTTTGGGAGGCCTTGGGTCGTTTCCATAGAAAACAGTGGGACTCATGTAAATACTGAGCTGCCTTGGAGGGGGACACGTGGATGACGTGGCCTTGAGGACGCAGCGCGCATTGGCTTCTGCAGAAATCCATTGCCACGTGTTAACCAGCCATCAGAATGGCATCAGGAGGCAGAATTCCACACGCAGGGTCTCTCCCTATACCTAGAAGTGATGAAAAGCCCAAAGGGAGAAGGTTGGATTCTGGGCGGTGGGATTTCTTGGGGCTCCTGAGAAGGGAAAGCAGACGGCGCTCAGCAGCAGGGCAGGAAAATGTGGTTTCATGCCTGAGACAGCAGCAGATCCATAACAAAGATAAGGAAGCTTTGCATGATGACGGGAGTGGGGCCGGGTATTCATCCAGCTGCCTCCAGCACGAGCTGGGGAAAGCATGGAGCTCACTGCCAAAGCTGAGGGCTTCAAAGGGATCCAACCAGGATGGGTGCATGGCTCGAAGGCGTGGGTCCAGGATCTGATGCACGGGAGGACTCAGGAGCAGAACCACTGCACGGAAATAGCTTTATACCCAGGGAAGGAGGGAATAACGTGTGTCCCTTTGATGGGGATGAGACGATGCTGTCTGTGATCCGCATCCCATAGGGGCTGACATCATTGCTGCGTGCAGCCGTGCGTGTCGGGGCAGCAGCGGGAGGCACTGGGCACCGCAGGCTGTGAGTCACCTCATCCCCAGGCAAAGATCTCCGCCAGCTCAGGGGAACTGAGCCCAAGGAGAGATCTCACCCTCATCCCCTGCCAGAACCAAACGAAGGCTGGGCTGGGTGCTGGCAGGAGCTGCACCCCGATGCTGGAGGAGTCCGCTTTGGGTCAGTGCTTTTTGAGCGTCTGGCAGTCGGAGCGCAAAAAAATGCGCTGATCCTCGTGGAAAAGCAGCGCCGCTGCAAGCAGCACCCCTAAGCAAGTGGGGTCTGAGAACCACCCCCGAAGAAAACAGGATCCAAGCACAATCCACGGAGCAACAAGCCCCCAGTCTCCTGTTAATGGCAGCTGAGCGTGCGCCCCGCGATCCTCCTTCCTTGCCCAGATGTATCAAGAGTGATGCAACCACTGCGCAAGTGCTGCATCCCTTAGGATGCTCAGTGAGAGATGTGTCTCCTGCTGTTCCCATTTGGCATCGCCTTGGTCCACAGCTCTGTCCTTCCTCAGACAAGGGGGGCCATGTGGCTTGCAGGTGGGCTTGGGTTTCTGGGGCCTTTTTGGGTGCCTTTTTGGGTTAGAACGCATAAAATGGAGGAGAGAGAAGTGGGGAGGAATGACCTTTTCCACCTCAGGATGTGAGATGAGTTTGAAGCATCTTCAGCCCAGCAGAAGAGAAAGCAACCGCCAAAACATTGGAAGAAAGAACAACCTTGGGATTAGGACAATTAGAAGCTGCTGGGATTTGCATAGCCTAATTAAAGATTCACTGAGCAGACACAACGAGACACAGCCTGAGCAGCCGCCCCGTGCTCAGCATTTCCCTGTGGCTGCCCTGGGTCACGTTTCAGGGCATGATTCACATCCCACACGTAGGAGATCTCTGCTCTCACGGGCTGCGATAGGAGCTGAGTGCTGTGGGACCATCCCACAGAAAACAGATGGGAGCAGCTGGGGGTTTAGGACCCAATTTAGGGCAGCATTTTTCATTTTGAGCAAGGAGAGAAAGCTGAGAAGCTGACACAGATCCTCCTCACTTTTGGCACTGGCTGTGCTTCTCAATCCAATGACCTCAACTCATCAACCCAACAAACCCAACTCCTCAACCCAACAAACCCAACTTCTCAGCTCAGTGAACCCAAATTCTGAACCCCAAACCCCCATCTTCTCAACCCAGCAAACCCAGCTCCTCAACCCAACAAACCCAATTCCTCAACCCAATGAACTCAGTTCCTCAACCCAACAAACCCAACTTCTCAACCCAACGAACCCAATTCCTCAACCCAACGAACCCAATTTCTCAGCCCAGTGAACCCAACTTCTGAACCCCAAACCCCCATCTTCTCAACCCAACAAACCCAATTCCTCAACCCAATGAACTCAGTTCCTCAACCCAACAAACCCAACTTCTCAACCCAACGAACCCAATTCCTCAACCCAATGAACCCAATTTCTCAGCCCAGTGAACCCAACTTCTGAACCCCAAACCCCCATCTTCTCAACCCAACGAACCCAATTCCTCAACCCAACAAACCCAACTTCTCAACCCAACGAACCCAATTCCTCAACCCAATGAACCAATTTCTCAACCCTAAATCCCCACCTTTCCAACCCAACAAACCCAGCTCCTAAACCCAAGAAACCCAACTTCTCAACCCAACAAACCCAACTCCTCAACCCTATGATCCCAACTTCTCAACCCAACGAACCCAACTTCTCAACCCCCAAACCCCAACTTATCAACCCCAAAAACTCCAACGTCTCAGCTCAGCGATCCTAATTTCTCAACACAACTCAACCCAACGGTGTTTTTCCATCTGTTGTCACAAAATGGGTTTCCCCACTCATTGGCAATATCCGTAACAACAATTAGCCCTTGAACAGCCCCGGATAGGATTTTTGTTCCACCCCTATGAACACCGCTTCTTTTTGAGCTTTGGACCTTGGACCTTTTCCCTGCCACCAGGTTGCAGGGAGCAAAGCTGAAGTCACTGCAACAGCTGGAGTTTGGCAGCGTCGCCTTCCTCCTCCTCCCCATATGCCACATGCAGGGAAAGCTGCA